ATATAAAATATAACCCAAATAAGAACGTACGAGTCAAATTAGAAAACAATGAGCTATTCCTCAATATAGATAGAATAAGAAGCGTTCTCGCTGAGAAAGAATCCATGCTAACTGAATCAAGCAAAACTAAATTATAAGACTACCTTAGTAAAGAAATACCAATGTAACAATATTAAAATGAGTAAATATTTGAAAACATCCGACTACAAATCATTTAAAACCATAGAGTATACTCCTCTAGACACGATAAATTGTTAGAAGACTACAGCAAAATTAAGAACGCAGTAGCAGAAGCTCTAAAAAACACTTCCATAAAAAAAGCATATGGCAATGATCTAATAAGTCCAAACATAAAAAAATAATCCATAAATGTAGAGGAATGTTAATGCCCTTAAGCATAAGAAGATAAAATTCGGAAAATTACAACTAGGAAAATCTTGGAATAAGACTTCGATGAATATGATAACTACTTAGAAATTTAGTGTGAACACTATAATTAAAGAGAAAAAGTCAATCCAATAAAGAAGAAAATCCAAATCTTCAATGTAATTGTAGAAAGATTGTCGATAATAATCATGAATGGAGATATACCTACATATATGATGAATTGCAAAATAGTACCTTTTTCTAAGAGTGGATCAACAATAATCCAAGATATCAAACAAATTCGGCCGATTGGCGTGCTACCTATATTCTATAAAGTCATAGAAAAAGCCTACAAAATCTTACTAGACAGAAACTTTGAGAAAATACTGTAGACTAACTATGAATAAGCAGGCTTTACAAAAAATAGATCAACACTAGATCACACAAGTTTCCTCTTACAAAGATTAAGCTAAGATTAAATTACAAAAGATAGAATCTTTGTCTTGTGTGATATTACATCAGCCTACGACAATGTCAATCATAACATCATGCTTAATATTATGAAGAGAAGAACCTTTGCACTATGGAATAGCGAACCTATAGTTGAAAACTTCTATGCCCTATTAGAAAAATCTTACTCTTGCACATCAGCATCAATAGGAGATAATACATTCACAATTTCGTAAGGCCTTATTTAAGGAAGTGCTTTATCTCCGGATTTATTCAAAATCTATTTGTAAGATATGCTGAATGAAAGTCAAGATGTTATCTCAACAGGTGCAGAAAACTATAGTCTTTTATGCTAAAAGCACTAATAAGGAAATAGGGAAAATATGATAAGGAACGTGCACTATAATTCCAATATGACTTTACTATTTGCAGATGATATACTAGCAGAATTTAATAATCTAGATCACTTTAAACTATGGTATAATGATACATACAGATAATAAACATGGAACAAATATAACATGCAGCTAAATGATAAGACTGTAATTATCTCTAAGAACCCACTAGGTAGTAGATTAATAGAAATGCAAGATGGTAACAAATTTAAAATAGCATCTACCACAAAATACTTAGGAATCAAAATCACAAGAAACAGCTTCAGGAAAAATAGCACTGCAAAAGCATAAGCCCTTAAAGCTGAAATATCCGATAAAATGCAAAGATTAATGTAATTCTAAAAGAAATACCTACCAATAACAAACTACAGAACACAGCAGATCTACCTAGATTCAATCTACAGATATTACATAACTCCCTTTGTACTTACAAATAACATCTCTATTCAAGATGCTCTTGAAATATGGAGACTAATGAGCAAAAAACTACTAGGAGTACCATAAAGAGTAAACGGAAATTTAGCCTTTGCATTAACACCATAACCTAATTTAGTCCTATGGTGGTTCCAGCAAGCCTAATCGCTATATAGGAGAATTCCATTTTAACAAGGTCACGAAGTCATCAATGAAATAGTAAAGAATTTAGATACAGCTAATCAAATGAAATATATAGATAAAACGCTCTCATACTAAGAAATAGCTTAACAAATAGAAGCAGGAACTTAACCCAAATACTATTCTCTCAGTCTTAATATGGTAGAAGACTATTATATGAATGAAATAGACAAAATGCCAACACCAGAAGAATAATGTCCACTATGCCTAACCCTAAGAACGATACCAGATATGCATATAACTAAAGCTATACTCTAATACAAATCTGAACAAAATATCAAACCAGAAATAGATCGCAATATTGGCTACATACCTATTGAATGTAAGAACGTAGCAATATTTACAGACGCTGGATATAATAAAATAGGTAACGTTGAACATGCATCAATAGGAATTGTTGACTTCCTAAACCCAACATACATGGCATATGAAGTATCAAAAACATAGCATGGAGTTAAACTTAACACTAAACTTAACAATGTAGTAGGAGAACTACTCGCAATACAAAAAACAATCGACTATATAATTAAAAGGTATAGAGACAAAGGACTAGGAGATAATAAAAAGAAAAATATCTAAGTCTAATTCGACAAATCTCTTTTTACCATTTACACAGACTCACTAATATCTGTAGACATCTTGTAAAGATGGATATATAAGTGGACAAATGGATCAGGAAACTTAAACTGTGAAAATGCTCACCTCATAGTAGACATACACTAATAACTAAATAAATATCAAAACATCTAATTGAAACATGTGAGAGCACATTAGAAGAAAGAAGATTGGAAATCAGTAGGCAATCATTATGCAGATAGAGCTGCCACCTTCGCATTAACACATATGTGGCTTAATCCAAGATGTAAAATGATAGTGCCAGAAATTGAAGACGATGGAGTTCAATCATCACTATGTAAAAATTGTCTAAAGCTATGGAATAGAGAAAGCACAGACAACAAAAAATCAATGCGGAAAACAATGAAATAGTAACTAACAATCTCATCTGAAGATGAACTCAAAGAGCATGAAATAGATGACCTTATGGAAAAATATAATACTATAGAAAACATGAATGTTATTAGCGGAAATGAAATCAGATGGTAAGATTAAGCCATCATCTAAAAAGAGTACAAATTCTTCAGATTCTACAAAGAAGAACACGTGTATAGACATGCACTCAAAAAGAAACTGGCTAAAAACTTTTAATTCTAGAATGAATTGTAGAATATAGATACAAGAATAGAAAAAGATAGAGCAAAATTAGTTGATTTTCAATAATCTGGTATAGCAGATACCAATAGATAAGATGAAATATTCTGCCATGAAAAACCTCTTCGCTTTCTCAAGCAATAATAAAGTGAGAATGTAGTAACAGAAGATGATAAACATCTAAA